CTTCATTTTCTGTTGGAAAAGGTGGTTTTGTTCCTGTTGTAGCCCAAGGGAGAAGGGTTCACATGAAACCTGCTTACATGTATCTTAATGTTCAACCTTTAAAGCATCTTAGATAAATTGTTTGTTTTGAGTACCGTAATATTTAATTGCACATCCATAAACCACAAAAATGCTATTTGAACTGTCCCAAGTCTAACACATAATTATTGATTTTTATATTGTAAAGTTATGGGGTTATTGAAATTATTGCATATTCCTTATCAGGAACTTGGGGGAATTAGTACGTCTACAGAACATCAAAAAGTGCTGCTTCAAGAGCTGATGATTTCTGTGAAAGGGATGCTTTGGAATACAGAAGTTGCCATTCGTTCTTTCATGATGATACGCCCAAGGTTCGTTCATCAGAGTACTGGAGGTGCTACAAATCCTGCTGCGCCAACACAGGTTCCTGGAGTAACATCGCCACTAGGTTCCAGTGGTCAACCAACATCCACCTCAATCGTGCCAGTTTTTGATTTCTACAGTGGTCTCCCAAAAAAACCTTCTCCATTTTTGCAGCAAACTGTTTCAAGATTTGAGAAGTATCTCGGTGAATGCCGCCAGTGGATTGAAGAGTTAGAGCAACTCCTTGTCCAAGAGTCTAATCGGAGTGCTTCCAATTCTGGCTCCTCATTGTTTCATTCGCTTCCTAAAATCATGTCAAATGTGCATGAATTCTTCATTCACGTAGCTGCTAAGGTAGGAGAAATCTTGTCCTTTAATGGTCATTAATTTTAAATAATGTAGTGGGCCACTTTTGAAATGTTTGTCCTATAGATTCAGATATTCTTCAATTAGGTTGTCGATGTATGTCACTGATGAGGAAATACCTGGTTTATTTAAGGGATCTTGATTGCTGATAGGGATTGTAATAAGTTGTCTTTAAGTTGGTTAGGGGACAGTGATGGTATGTATGTAATGTAAATTTGAGGTTGCTTTTTGGTATTGAGTTTGACTTTGACTAGTATAGCTTGCTTGGAAACAAAGTCTACAATTTTTTTAAGTGCTGGTTTTTAAGTTCGGAAGATGTCAGAGTGTGAAAATCCTTCAACTTATCCACATGCACCTGATCTCACAGTAGAAAGTAGGATGCTACATATGCACATTCTTATAACTAACGGCATGTTAAAAATTATTCCTCAGGTTGAGAGTATTCATCAGTACATTGACTCAATGAAGGCGGCTTATCTTGCTGATCAGCGTCGCAGAGGGGATGTAAATAATCCATTTCTTGAGGCTGATCGAAGGGAAACTGCACGCCAAGAAACAGTAGCTAAGAGGGCACATCCGACTTTACATTTGCCTGCAAATTCACAACCATCAACTCAAGCTACTGGATTACTTGCCAGCTCAGGCAATCATGGTGCATCAACAGCCCCACAATCGTCTACAGTAGCCACACCAGCTTCTTCCGCAGGTGGATTGTCCCTTTTTAGTACACCCTCTGGTCCAGCTACTGCATCATCATCTCTGTTCATGACACCAACAGCGTCTGTTCAAACATCCTCTCTGTTTAGTTCATCTGGTGCAACAGCTCCCACATCACTTTTTGGCTCGTCCTCTGCACCATTGTTTAGTTCTGCTAATACTCCCTTTGGCAGCACCGCTCCATCTTTTGGGCAATCTGCTTCTACAGGAGGTTCATTATTTTCAACACCCTTTGCTTCTGGTAATTTCTTGACATTTTTTGTATGCAATATATTTCTTCGTAGTATTGAACTAATTGTTTATTTCTAGTAGTTAATCGCTGGTTATCTATTTTTATCCCATTATGTTATAAAACATGTGTTTGGGATGTTTTGGAAACTTGCAAAAAAAAAAAAAAAAAAAAGAAAGAATTCCACAAACTATGATGATCCTGTCTAATAGGAATGCAATTTTATAGTTAGATATATTATTAGGGTATCAACAGTATATTAGTAATTAACTTGAGGAGTTTGTTGTTAGGTATCAATTATAAATAGATGACTGGGAGGAGAGGAAGGTAGGCATTGGTTTTGATGGTTTAGGCTTGAGTGGAGAGGGAAGCTCCAGTACCTTGAATTAGTTTGGAGTAATTCATCGATCTTTTTTCCTTTCAGTATATTTCAGCTATTTCAGCATGTTATATTTAATTTAACGCATATCATATCCCCATGTAATATTATTAGTATTAACTCTTTTTGTTAGTGACCGTTCTGCAAAGTATGATAGCATTCTATCTCATAACTTTTAATAGAATTTTCAATTCTAGTAGCCTTTTTTGTTCTTAACTTATTTATGCGGTGCTTTGTAGTTTTATTTATCTTGACACCCTTCGGAACATTGGTTGCTCCTTGCATTTGAACAAGCTTGTTTCTGTACAAATTGTTAATGTGATATAATTCTTACAATTATCCTATCTTGGCCCAACAGTCAATGAGATAAGTTTTGATAAGAGAAATTGTATGGGTATGGGCTCGAAGATTGATAGTAGCAAATCAGTACATCTTTTTCAAATATATATATTATTTTGTTCTCTTTTCTTTTTCTTTTCAAATATTAGAAAGCTGGATTTAGATCAAATTACTTTAAGCACATGTAAATTAGCTTAAACACGTGTGGTTGTGGGAAATAGATTAAATGATTTGACATGATTTCCTTATCGTTATTACTTACAAGAACATGTCTGATTTGAGTTTTTAATTGACTTGACATAGGAGGAATATATGTTATTTAATGTTGGTACGTTCCCCAGTTACCAGTTGCCAGATGGGATCAGTTTATAACCATGACTTGTACTGTTTTCATAGGTGCTGCAACAGGATCTGGGGCTAGCTTTGGGGCAACTTCGGTGAGTTAAAAATTTCTCCTATTAGGTTTCTGTTCTTCGGTTTATTACCTTCATGCTGTTTCTTTGGCATTTCTGCTAATGAATCCGAATGAAGATCTATTGGGGATGTATGGGGCTGCGTGTATATGCGGGAAATATAAGTCTCATGCTTGGTTCATGCGAGCTATATAACCCATCTTATTTTATTGCAGAAATCGTCAAAGCCAAAGTCCCGAACTGCTCGGCGCTACTAGTCATAAATAACCATGTAAGATTATTATTACCAGCTACAAGTAACAACTGATGAAAAAACAGCCAAGGATTACGAGACATATCTGGCATATCTTCGAGGAAAGGCCAATTTCTTAGTCATTGACAGTTCTATATCAGATTGTTCTACATGCAGTAAAAAGCCTTAAGGTATCTGACGCTTTCTTGCGAAGTTGAAGGAAATTGGAACGTTTTCTCAAAACAACCCTGCTGCTATGGCTGATTGTTTTATGAAAGATAAATATCCTGCTACGGCTAATATGTTTTCTGAAAGAGAGCGGTGAGGCGATATGAGAATTCTGTAACTCTGTAGAATACAACATAGGTATGATGGATGTCTTATGAAAACTCAATGTTTTTCTGGTGATGCGATTAGTTAGGGGGGAACAGTATTAATCTTGTCATTGTTGGTGGCCTGCTGTACAAAAAAATCGACTTGCGGTTGCAGGAAACAGCTCGAGTGTTTATCAGATATTCTTCTTGGACCAGTGGCTGCATCTCTGAGCCGCCATCAGGACTGGCAAGTTTACCTTTGAATGAAAGGGTATATATAACGTCTCTACAGCATGTTTGAAATTGTTCACTTGAATTATTCTCATCTGCATTCTTCTCTGAAGGAATTTGACTGAAAAATTGTGTACCGAATTTTTGGTGATTTTCCAATTCTTAACCCTTTTTTCTTTAAATTGATGTCATGTCTCCATTGTAATGACATTTTGCAATTTAATTGTGTAATGAATTTTTGTTGGGTTTTCCTCCCTTCTTTTAACTGATGCCACCATTTTGGTAATTTCTGATTCAACTGTGAAATTATGAAATGAATGTTAAGGAATTAATTATTGTATAGAGAAGGAGAGAATTGACTGAAAACCATTGTCGTAAATTAGCAGCAGGGTGATTTTATTATTAAAACTTGAAAGAAGATCGAAATGCATCACCCATTTAAGTGAGGTTGACAAAGAAGAGGTGATAGATAAATGTCCAATCAGTCCAACAATATTAGGTCCACGCACTGGACACATTAACTGACAGCTGACATTGAAGTATTCCTGAAGAAGAAGGCATTGGAAGGTTTGGAGAGGTTTTGGAAATAGTGGCATGTGATCAGCTCCATTATATTGCCATTTCCATAGATAGGTCTCCATCATCCACTTCCCGATCATTTTGTCCTCATCGTAGTTCTTTTTCTCCCTAACTTTCTCTGATTTCGACGGTTCTTCTCTCAAGAGTCACCCCTTCTCTCACCGAGCCTTTGCCAAACCTAGATCCTAATTACGATGGATATTTGAGGATTTTGGAGGTTTTGTGGAAGCAGGTTGTTTTTTTGTTTTGTTTTGTTTGGAGCATTCAATCTTGAATTGAGAGAAATTGTAACCAATATTTTTTTTTTTTAAAAAAAAAAACTAGAAATTAAAAAAGATGTTGTCCCAAATTGATTAAATTAAGAAAGTGAATAGTTGAACTCGAACGTAAGAGCGAGGTCCCTTGACTTAGTTGAGTCACAAATATTCTTGACAGTTTGTGGAGCCACTAGGAGATTATATTTATGCATATCATGTCGTATGATACATAATACCTCTAAATGATATGTTATGCATATCATGTTAGCATGATTACTTCAAAATTAGGAAACACTATTTTACGCCAACTATATTTTCATGAAAGTTATGTTTATGAAAGAATGAATATACGACTTGCATCATACATTGATGTTAGGATACGTGCATTTATCTTCAAATCGTAGCCCTTGGATTAGATATAGTGCTTTTGTTAGTTGAGTACTTTTTAAAAAAAATTATTTATGCTATTTCCTTGATGGTATATAAATGGATGGTATGAACTTTTTTGGCCCATATTATAGTAACACCCTGGATATAAGATGGATATCATAGACAAACTGACACGCATGCCCAATCATGGATCATATCATAAAATCACAAACCCCAAATTAAGGAAGACGTGCAGAATTATAAAAGGTATGGTAATAACAAGTTTTAGGTACTGAAAGAAACACGTTGACACGCATTCCCAATAATGAACCAAGCACTCCATATCATAACATGCCAAACCCAGCATTTAGAGAAACTTGCAGAACTATAGAACATTTATTATTATTGCCTTCCGTTTCGTTTATCTCAGAGGAGTTGGAAGTAAAATCAGGATTAGGCGCAGCTGACAGCAACCTGAAGGAGACAGTGGAGAAGCTGGCGAGGCTTGCAAAACATGGGCATGTGATCAGACCCGTTTATTTCCATCACATTTTCAATCCCAACGTTGTGGATCATCCACTTTTGGAACTCCTCTGGGATTCCTTTGTCTTCAGTACAAACGATGTATACTTTCTTCACGGATCCATATTTTTGCTTGGAGAAATTGTTTGCCTTTGACAAGTCTTGCATGAACAATGAACTTGGCCTCAGAAGACTCAGCCCCAGTGCTAAATCCTTCCATGATAAACTATAATTCAGTACTAAATATCCTTAACAAATGTAGCAGATAAAGAAAGAGAGAAACCTCGGGAGGGGAGAGTTGGTAGAGCTTCTTGGCCACGAAATTGGGTCCAAAAAACATTGATGTTGAAGGCTCAGCTTCGGTTCCATAAGGACTAAACTGAGTGTCTAGCCAAGCTTCCAGGGGGGTTTGCTCATTGTACTTGCATCAACACAAAATTTGAGTTTTGGGTCATCCAAAGATTCAACCTTTATTCTTTAAAAATTTAGAATAGATTCTTTTGAATGCTCTGTATTTAAAAATTTAGAATAGATTCTTTTGAATGCTCTGTAATCAACTTTTTGACTAGACGGTAAAAGTAATAGGTACCTGATCTAGGACATAGGAAGGCTTGTGGTTAGTGTCAGGGACAAAGGCCGCCACGAAAACAGAGGCAGCTATCTTGTCCGGGAACCTCTCCATAGCCACAGCCAAGTTGAAGCCGCCAAGGCTATGACCCACCAATATCACCTTTTGATTTGGAGGAAGACAGGCCATGGCCTTCAACAAAGGCTCGGAGTAGTCTACAATGGAGTGCACATCTTGGATGACCTTCCTGTGGATTCCCGAGGCAGCCATGTCCAGCAGCGTTACACGGTGGCCAGCAGCCTCGAGCAGGGGCTTGATCTTGAACCAGCTCCAAGCTCCATGGCAAGCTCCGTGGACAAATACAAAATGCTTTTGCTCCATTTGAGTCAAGTGTTCCAAAAATTATGTTCGGTTGAACGTAGAGGACTTGCCCAAGTCTTGGTGGTGGATCTAATTATAGCTTTTTGAGAAGAAGCCTAGGTTGTCAAAGAAGACTACCTAATTATGCCAATCCCAGAGTTACATGGAAAGCAAAAGCAAGATTAATTGCAGTCAGACACGTACAAAACAAATATTAAGAAAGAGACTCAAATATTTACTTGGTCTAGTGGGAAGAAATTCACCATCACGGGTGGTAACCAATCAGTATAAACAAAGTAGGTAAATATCTAATTCTCACACTATAAAATCTCTTTCCTCCTAATTGAAAATACAAAATATCTATAACCTCATATCACTAGACTCCACACTTAAAAAATAAATAAATAAGAATATTAATTTTTAATAATAATAAATATAAAGACAAATAATAATAATAAAATTATTTTCTCAAAATTAAAATATATTCGCAGGTCACGTCTTTGAAAATCCGATTTTTGCAAGTGGCGTGTGGAAATCATGATATTATACAAATCACTATATTTTGGATTATTCGAAGTTAGTTATTGAAAAATGTACATTATATAAATAAATAAATAAATAAATAAATAAATTCTTTTTTTAATTGGTTTGTTTATTTGTGAATAATTAAAAGCGCTTTTGCTTGAATTATAAGTAAAGTTATTTAGTTTTTATAGTTTTTAAATTATAATTAGTTGACATCATTTAATAAAAACTTCAAATAAGAATTATTTAGAAAGATTTTGATCATATGGTAGATACTATTATGAAGATTTATTAAATATAAAAATAAAACTCCAACTACAATTAAGTTTTAACTTTGTTCAAAGAATAAATTTACATTTTATCAATTTTTTTATTAGAAAAGAACATAGTGTAAGCCGAAAGTGGAGAGGAATTTTGAATAAAAAATTATATATTATTAATCAAAATATTAGATGCTACAATCTTTCTGTATAATAATAATAATAAAATATTTTAATTTAATTTGTCGTTAAAACACAAAACAAACCCTAATCTCTAAATTTAATGATTTTGAGTCTCTCAAGCTATTGGCTCTGTTATTCTAACCATGAACTAATATCAATAATTGCGTTTTTATGTTCAATTAACCATTTTTCTGAAATAGTTGTTTGAACTCAAAAGATTAATTAATTAATTAATTAACCATTTTTTGATTTATTTTTTTTTAATTAAGAATATTATTTAAGCTTTGGAAAGTTCAAATATGTAAAAAAAATAAAAATTATGAATATTTTCTCTAATTTAGCCCTACTTAAAAATATTTGAACATAGAGAAAGAAATTAATAAAACTATGATGGGTTGATGGATAGAGTGCAACTTTTTTGTTTTTTTTTTTTTGTTTTTTCTATTTCTCTATTTATTTTTCTTGTTTTTTCTGTTATTTTCAAAGATGTCTATGGTAGGATATTAAAGCAATCAAATTTTGTTCTTTAAACATGTTCTTTAAAATAATAATATAATAATGCTCATATTCGAAGAAACATCGTTAATATAAGATATCGTTCTAAAAATGTGATAAAATCTTGTTCAACATTTAAATGGAGGCCACAAATTAGTTGCTTTATACAAAATTATTGTGAAAACATGTTTCTGAGAAATACCCTTCAGATTACTGTTTGTTTGTTTTTATTAATGTTATGTTCTTTAGATCAATTGAAATTGTATTGAATTTGAAAAACCTTTAGTTGAGCCTTATTCAATTATTTGGGTTATAAGTCAAGCCCAATGGGCCGTTGAAATGATGAAGGCTTCTTGTTGTGAATGTTATGAAATTGTCCATTCGCACTCTCCTTTGGGCTTCCCCGATATGATATTTTCTATTTAGAGCATAAGCTCCTCATGTACATGGAGATAATATTCTTCATTTATAAACTCATGATCTTCCACCCAATTAATCCCATTGGGAGACTCACTATCAATAATCTTCATAATCAAAGGGAATGGATATTGAATATGATCCATTAATCGATGGAGAGATTGGGTGAGCTCCCACATATCACTGTATCTTCCCTCTTTAAGTTATGTTTTAAGAGGTGTATGGTCAGACTTGGGTTGTGAAGTTGGCGTGTGTGAGGGGGTGATGGAGTTTGAAGGGCGTTGGTTATGGGGGGCCTGCGCCATGCAGGGCTGTTTTTGGGGCATGGAGGCGTCGTCAGCCTTCTTGTGCTCTACGAGATGAGATGATAAGAATAATAGTAAGAAAGAGGGAAGGTGAATGATAGGTGGAAGATAGAAGGTGATTATTAAAAAATAATAAGGTAAAAGAAAAAGTGGGGCAAATTGGAAATAAAATAATATTATTGAAAAAATAGTGAATGGGTAGTGGGGGTTTTGTTTGTACAGTGAGTTATAATAAGACAATGGGGACTGTGGTTGGATTCCTTTTGTTGTTGACATGATTGGGTGCCTGCCTCTATGCCCTATTTGTTTCTTTTATTCTTTTTTTACGTTTTGAATATTTGACTCCATCCCTTCATCATTTTGGACTAGGGTTGTTTTGAAAATGTAATAGTCACAAAAACCTTACTATATAATCTAAGATGTATATGGATGGGTGTAATTAAATCCGTTATATGTGATGGTGTTAGAGACAAATCAAACTCTAAACTCTAATCGTATTATGGACATAGCCATGCATAACATAACCAAGTGGGAGTGGGATGGGAATATAGACGAAGAAAAGAGAGAGAGGGAAGGGAATTGGATTATATGGGGGGGACAGGTTGGGGAAGGGTAGGGCAGGTAAGTGGCAAGGTTGTGAGTAAGAATTGTGTGTGTCAGAGAGAAAAACTCATTCTCTGTGAGATTCAGACTGAGTTATAAATAATGAAGAAATGAAAAAAGAAAGAGAAGAGCACATGCAAAGGGGTTTTGTGTGGAGAGGCAAGACATGATAGATCCATCTATGCAAGGACTATTCTGTTCATCTTCCAGCTTTTCTCACGTTTCCATATATCCTCTAAATCTTTCTCTTTCTTTCTTTCTTTCTTTTTTTCTTATTAAATCATACTTCCTTAGGGTTTTGAGCAGGGAAAAGAGGTGTGTGTGTATATAGTGGTTTAGGGTCTTGGTGGTGATTGTATAATTGAAATGGGAGTTGAAAAAGGAAGAAGAAGAAGAAGAAGAAGAAAGGTGAAATCAAAGAGTGTGCGTTGTGTTGCGTTGGAAAAGAGGCGTGAGAATCCCAAGAGATAGAATGGGTACAGATCCTAAAAGACTGAAAATAAAAAGCTTTGGTGTAACGTTGAAACTTGAAAGAACGAAAGAAAGAAGTAAAGGGGTTTTAACTAACTTAATATAATGTTTTACTCGTATATGTATACACTTCAATTTATTGGAGATTCGAGCTCAGAGATGGCGTGAGAGAGAATGATTGAAGATATTGATTGAAAAGGGAGAGAGAGAGAGAGACAGAGAGAGATTAAAAATGAAAAGGTGTATGGGTGCTGTATGAGTGGGAGACACGAGACGGGGTCCATATTTGTATCACATCCCATGCATTGTTGTCATGTCATTTCATAAACCACCACCACCACCACCCCCATACCCACAAACTTCAATATCATTAACCTCAATTTATTCTCTTAATTATTCCATTTACTCCTAATTAGATGATGGAGAATTATTGGTGTGTTAATTAAAATGATGATTATGTGTTATAGAGATTCGTGATTCCAACTTAAAATTAAAATTCGTGTCAGCTAGATAGATTCAAAGTTTGAAGCTTGCTGTTACACACACAAATCCCCATATATCAATTCTTTCCCTTAACCTCTATTTCAATTCAAATAAGGTCGAGTTTGGTGAGATTACGAAAATAATATAATTTTTTAATTCAATATCAAATTCATAATTTATAGAATTTAATAATCCAAGTTTGAAAATCCCAGCAACGACCAATCAAAGAATTCCTCTTCAGAATCTCCCCTAGTCTTATCTTTTTAGGAAAAAAAGAGCATTTTCTAGAAATTTCAATTAAAAAAGAAGTATAATTTGTTATTGGGAGAGCAGATTTAATAATATTATTATAAAATCTTTGTTTTTCTTTTTTGTGGATATTTTCAACAACTACCCCATCAAATATGGCCAATACCTATTTTGAAATTTCTCGTCCTTTTGCTTTTCGTCCTTTCTTCCTATTCACAATTTTAAGACGTGTCTATTAAATAGAGTATGAAGTGATATATGTATATTATATTGGATAGTAAATATTATGGGCACATCAAAAACATTAGGATCACATGAATCCAAAGTTAATTATTGCGATTCAACAATAATGAGAGGGAGTAAGAGAATCTGAACTTTAAATTTTGGAAATTGAAAGAGACGGGAGGAGGTGATTGAAGGGAGGGAGTGCCCGACACCGATCCCAGACTCAGAAATAATCCAGAGGATCCAAACCCCTCGTCGTTTTCTGCTCACCCCAAACTGTAAAGACAGGCACAAGCATTCCTTGATTTTAGCTCTCCCGCTCCAGACGCCACGCGCGCTCTGCTCTAAAACTTCTGCGCCTTCATTTCCTCTTTTTATATTCCAATTACGACTTTTATCACCTACCTCATCGATCTAAATAAAACACGGTGAAAATGTTAAAGAGATGACTTAATATAAAGTTGCTTATGATTGAACTACCAAAAATCAAAGTGTATCTAATTGGTCTAAGTAGTAACTTTTAGCTTATTCGTGTATCTCTCTTTTACACTGTGTCGTATAATAACACACGTAAAATTCTCATCGAGAAACAAGGTAAAAAAGTCAAAAAAGACTAATAATACAAATTAACTTTACACGGATAATTATGGTAATAATTAAGAAATTTAATATAAGTATCGTGTAAATTAAGGGATAAGATTGGTATTATTATCAATCAACCATATATGAAGTCAAACCAAAAAATTGACCATGACACCCACAAGTGTGAGACATGTAGGGCCGTTTTCATCTTTTTGATTTTTGTCATTTTTAAAATTTTTGGAATTCAAAATATTTCATTGGATGGCGAAGTTGATTGTCTTCTTAGGCCTGAATTTAGTTA